TTTTTTTTTTTTTTTGGTTTTTCGAGACAGGGTTTCTCTGTAGCTTTGGAGCCTGTCCTGGAACTAGCTCTGTAGACCAGGCTGGTCTCGAACTCACAGAGATCCGCCTGCCTCTGCCTCCCTAGTGCTGGGATTAAAGGCGTGCGCCTCCCTAGTGCTGGGATTAAAGGCGTGCGCCACCATCGCCTGGCCACGGCATCTTTTCTTGCTTTTAATTTTTCAATATACCATTAAATAGTATAGCTGGATGGGCCGGCCTGGTCTACAGAGTGAGTTCTAAGACAGCCGGGGCTATTCAGAGAAGCATTCCCTACCCCCAGATCTCAGTATGCTTACAGAGTTGTGCATTTACCACAGTAGTCTGACCTACGCCTTAGTGAGGATGTGATCCACATGGGCCATACTATTAGACATGGTTTACATGGTGGTGCTGAGTTCGAGGCATAGACTTTAGTGTCCTTTATTAAAGTATGGTTTGGAACACTCTACTGTCGTTCCTGCCTAAAGGAGGTCTTGGCGCTCCGGATGTTTATTTTCGTTTAGTTGTCTGGGTTTTCTTGTTTTTTCTTTGTTTTGTTTTTGTTATTTTGGATGGGGGCCTTATTATGTAGCCCTGACTGACCTGCTATGTAGATCAAGCTGGCTTTGAACTCACAAAGATCTGCCTGCCTCTGCCCTCCAAATGCTAGGTTTAAAGGTGTGTGTCACTCACTACCTTATTTTGAGGCCTGGAATTTGTCAAGTGGCTAATGTTAGCCTTGCACTTAGCAGCAGTGTGCTCCATCAGCCTCTAGGGAGCTCATATCACAGCTGTGACCCGTGGTCAGCTGGTCAGAGATGTAGAGAAAGTGAGGTGAAGCTGGTGTGGGCACAGGCTTGTAATCCCCACACCTGGAGTATGGCAGAGCAGGAGGAGGGTCTAGAGTTCAGGACTGTGGCTGGGCAGGGGGAGCAGGCCTTATCCCAGTATTTGGAGGCAGAGGCAGAGGCAGGCGACCTCAGTGAGGTCTAAGACAGGTAGGGCTAGAGAGAGAGAGAGAGAGAGGGAGAGGGAGACGGAGACGGAGAGGGAGACGGAGAGGGAGAATAGAAGGTTCATGGCCAACCTGGGTAATTGAGGTCAGCATGAGCTAAACATCAAAGCCCTGCTCCCGAACGAAACAAGAGGGAATGGGGAGGCTGGGAGGGAGGGAGAGGATACAGGATATTTGTGTTCTGCTGTACTGTAGAGGGGTGTCTTCATCCCTCTAACTTCTGTGTTTTAAAATTTTATTAGTATATAGTAGTTGTATAAAAATCCCCTTTTAAAATATCAATTTTGAAATGGTTTACATGGCATACGACTTTTTCATTTCATTCATAGAAGTTGATGGGTTTTTATTGTACACTCATATCCGCACTCATTTTAGAACATTTTTTGTTGTTGTCCCCCCCCCAAAATAAAAAAAAAAAACAGTACTCATTGGTAGTCACTCCCTGTTTCCTTTCAGCCCTGCAAATGTTTTTGTGGCTTCTTTGGGATCTTGCCCCTGCCAAGGTCTTCTCCCTGCTTCTCTGCTAAGATTGTACAATTCATAGTAGAAGAGAGGCTGCCAAGAAAAATTGGACATTACCTGTCAGAATTCAACATAGTGGCTTTGGTCATTGTTTCCTTTCTTATACCGATAAAATACTTGTGCCCTTTTAAGGAGAAAGTATTTCGTGGCTTTTTGTTTTTTTTTTTTTCCCGTTTGTTTTTTAAGGTGTTATTTTATTTTCATGGTATCTTTTTTTTTTTTTTTTTTTTTGGTTTTTT